CCCCAAAACCCCAAAACCCCAAAACCCCTATAGGATTTTAAAGATTTAGATGTATTTTAGGTCAGGAATTTTGTAAGGGCTTTTGAATGTGGAGTGGGGCAGAGGCTTAGTGAGGTGGGAAGAGGGCTTCCGGGCTTTTATGTGGCTGACTGATCGGGAGTTTAGTTTTGGAGCTAGGTGAGGAGGGTGGTGGGGAATTTCGATTTCTAAGAAGGAAGGTTAGGGAATCATAACGGAATTACATTGATTAGTCAAGATGTTTAGCAAGATTGGTTATTATACTTCTTTATAGTTTTGGATTGAAGAATTTCTTGCTTAATTCTTTAATATGTAACTTTTATTTTCTTCGTATTAATACTTACCAACAGAATTTGAATCGTGCTGCGAACTCCTATCGAATGTTTTATTGATCTTTAATACTACAAAAATTAAAATTACAAAAGCTTACACCTTGTAGAATTCCTCTGAATCCTAGCGAGGTACTTAGCCAGCTCTAAAATTAAGTAAAACTTTACTCTTATTTCTGCTGGAACTCATTATTCTTTGATAGAGAGATTACTTTCAGTTCATCAAGTGTCTGCTGAACTGTCTGCTGGAAATTTTCGAGATTATGAGGAATTGACAGATCTTCTATAAGAGGTTTTGTTTCTTTTGGGTTGAATTTATCTATCCATTTTGCTATTGAAACAGTCTGGTCCATTATAGTCATCACTTTCTTCTTATTTTCAAACACAGAGGTTGAGGAGTTATTATATTTGGAAATCTCCTGCCTCACAAATTCGACTAGGATAACACACAAATGCTTTATCTGCTTGTGTAAAACTTCAAGTCCCTTTATAGTACTGTCATATTGCTCAGTGCTTGACTTGGTCTTTAGAGGTAGTGTATGAGCTCTTCTCTCTCAACCTTAGTTTCTAAAATTGTACTTAGCTCTGTTTTTGTGACAATATTTTCCCCTTTGTACTTAATTTGAATATCTTGTTTAAGCTGCTGATATAAATTTGTGATTTTGGTGGTCATTTCTTGAGAAATTTGGTCATAAGTTTCCGAAATTTTAAGGTTTGTATTAGAGATTTCTTGTTCAGATCAGGCAAGAAGGTCACTCAAGGATTTTAGTTGCGGCTGGACCTGCCTCTGGTCGGCTATAGGTGAGGTAAGAGGGTACCTTTAGTGTTTATTTGTTCGGTGAGACTGAGGGTAAGCTCGTTTAGGGAGAATTTCGAAGCTTTTTCGGTGATAATTTCATCGAATCTCATTATTATTTCTTTGTTTTTCTTCATTTCTAACTGAACTTCTTGACTATTATCCTTGAGTTCTTTAAACAATTTTTGAAATTGCCAAGTTGAAGCTTTGAGCTCTGTTTTCAAAGATCAAAGATCTATGAATAAGATAAACCACAATACCAATTCTATCATCTACTTTCAGAACTTCATCCTTGGTAGCAAGGCTGCTGAACTTAGCTATCATCTTTTGGACAATATCTCTGTCTTTATTTCATTTGAAGAGTCGTTGATTTCATCTGCTTGTTTACCTGGCTCATTAAAGCTTCATTCTTCTCTCTGATTTCATCAAGCTCTATAATTAAGTTCTGGAGCTACCATTGAGTCTTTTAGTGTTGCTTTTGTTTAAGAGGGTGACGATTTCATCAGTTTTATCCTTGGTATAGTATCTCTCAAGTACTTTCGTTTTGAATGAATTGTAGTTAATAATGTGCTTCTCCAGTTCTGTTCTTACCAAATCCATATCACTGCTGAGACATAATTTGGGGATTTTTGCCTCAATAGTATTGATCTAAAGGTTAGAAACCCTTTTAAATACTCGTTTTAACGAAAATTTGATAGATTCTACTTCTTTTCTGAAAGTGTTGTCAGTTACTCGATCAGCAACTTGTAGCTTGGTGTCATGCATCTTTCCCATAAGGTCATCAACCTTATCTCGAAGTTTTGCATTAAGTTTCTCAACATCAGACTGCAGTAGTAAGATCTGATCTTTAGTTTGGTCGTAATCGGCATCATCAAAAACTATTGTAAACTTAGGGTATCCAGCCTGTCTTAAATTGTCTGAGCTTGTGAGACATGTACATCTGACTTGTTTTGGATGCCTCTTTCACGATACCCCATAAGGGATATTTCCTACGGAGGCATTTGGACCGTTAGATTTAATGAGCCCAAGCATATCGAAGAATGGGCTCAGGTCTTCGATTTTCCCTTCAAGCTGGTTGATCCTGGAAAGAAGCGATTCTACTGTCTGGTCAGCGCAAGTTACTCCGGCGGAGACTGGGCGAGGTGAGGAAGAGACTGGGGTTTCCTTGGAAGGACTCTTTGGGCTAGGGGATTTTGGAGGACTGGGCTTGAAGAGTTTGACTGATTTTGTAAGAGGGTGAGACGGTCTTGGGATAGAGAAAGAGCGGGTCAGATGTTTAGGAATAAAGGTGTGGGTAATTGTTTTCCTAGGGTCCATGCTTTATTTATTTTTAAATATAATGGGGTTTTGGGGTTTTGGGGTTTTGGGG